ATCTTATTCATAATACTATATAATTATTATTGATTTAAGTTTTGGTATACTATAAATATTAAATATAATTTTTTAACTAATAAATTATCTTTATATTATAGAAATAAAAAGTGTTTACATCATTAAGGTTAATTTAGTAGTTAGGTAGAGAAGGGTTACGTAGTCTAGTGGTTGAGTAGAGAGAGGTTAGATAGTTAAAAGTATGGAGACTTAGATTCAATCTTTATTACGACTATCTTTGTAATCTTTTTTATTTTTATAAAAAAAAAATATTTAATCATTATATCAATGTAATGGAATGATGTTTTATTTCATAGTTCATACTAAGCGGCCATTAAAAATAATCAGAACTTGATAAAATTCATTTAAACACAAGATTAATTATAAAATAAGATACAAAAGGTAAAGCCCACTTAGACTTCTAAGACTAAAAATATATGGAAACAGTTTAGACACTTAGAGGTTTTGATAAAACTCAGCTAAATATAAGGGTAATTATTTTCATTCTTTTAAAAATAATTTTCATTTTCAAATTTTCAAGATATAGAAAATATGTTTGTGCGGCTTCTTATTTTCTATTTTTTAAAATTGAAAATATTGAACTATGTTTAATTGATGTAATTTTGATTATATATATATATATAAGTTTTTGTTTATATATATATATATATATATATATATATATATATATTTAACTTATTTAGTTTATTTTGATCATTAATATATTAATAAATTTAAATTAACACATGTTAAAATAATTAAAATATTCAAAGACTGCATTATGTAATACATTCAAACGAAAATGCATTACAAATTAGAAAAGATGTGAAAAAAATTGGGGGTATGAAATAATGAAAGGGAGTATGATTTTAAATAGCAGTCCACAACATCTATTGTTGTCAGAATATTGTTGTTATGGTACTTTCCGTAATTACAATGATCCAGGTGTGATTTTAAATCATTAAAAAACTATAATATAACTATAATAGATTTGTAATATTATTTTATTTTTTTAATAAAAAAATAGATATAGATTCAAGTTTTAATTTTTTAATTTAGGTTAAAACTCTAATTTAGTTTCTTATAGTATTTTAAAGTTTTAATTTAGTTTTACTTTAATTTTTTATTTCAATTTGGTCCCTAATAATTTAAATTACTGCAATGTCAAACTTTTTGTCTAAATTTCTTAAACAGAGTTAACTATTGGCCACGTGGATGCCATGTAGATGCATAGGTAGATGCCAAATTTCCCTAATGCAACTGGAACCAGAACGACCCATTCTGAAACTAGAACGACTCATTCTGCTTGCACTCGTGGTGTGTTAATTTTGCATCTAGAACGACCCGTTCCAGATGCATTATTTAACACACAACGAGTACAAGCAGAACGGGCCGTTCTGAAACTAGAACGAGCCGTTCTAGTTTTAGAACGGGTCGTTCTGAATTCAGAACGGGCCATTCCAAAACGCCAATCACATACGTATGTTCAACAAAATACAACAATGTAGTTCAAAAATTGAAAATAAAAATTCATAACATAACATAAATTCAAAGACTGAAATATGGTTTAGAGACTGAAAACAAAAATTCATAACATAACATATACTAAGCAAGTTCAAAGAAATTACTGAGGAGGGAAATCATCTAGATAAGGCTGAAGGTGCCAATTATACATCCTATCCACCATATAATTATAGTTTTGTTGGCGTTCATCCATCTCTTGCAATCGATGATCCTTACACTGAATGACTGACAGGATATCAACATTATCTACTTGTACACGTGGTTGTGTGGTGAAATGTTGGTCTTGTGAGTCCTCTTCCTCTACTTCAGGTTGTACCTCCTCAAGAACAGGTTGTTGTTGTTGGGGTACATCGGTCAATGATTCCAAGGAAAAATACCATGTCGTTTCATCCTTGATTGTATAGTGCCGATTTGGTAATAAGTGGTTCACTCCAGTTTGAATAACAATGAAATGGTGTATAGCCCAAATGTTTAACAATTGAAGTTATCAATCCCCCATTGACAATATTACCAAATCTAGTGTTTGAAATGATTTGTACCTTGGGTTTTTTTTCCTTGCACGATTCACAACTATGATTTAGAATCACGAGCGTGAACTATAATCATTGACCGTTTGTGTTTGGTGTTCTAGAACCAGAACAGGTCATTCTGGTTCCAGATGCATTAAAGAAATTTAGTATCCACCTATGCATCTACGTGGCATCCACGTGACCAACAGTTAACTTCGTTTAAGAAATTTGGACGGAAGGTTCGACATTGTAATAATTTAAATTATTAGGGACCAAATTGAAACTTTAAAATATTATAAGAGATCAAATTAGGGTTTTAACTTTTAATCTAATAAGATTTTTCATATGAGATGTTAAGATTGGGAGGGAAGCAACTAATGATGATTGGTTAGAGTATTAGGAGATGCATGATGCATTTTTGGAAAGGAAAAAAAAGTGTTTGGAGAAAAAAATTAAGAAAAATAGATTTGATTGATTTTTATTATTATAGAATTACTTGTTTTATATTTAGTGCAAGTATATAATAATTTCATGACAATGACTGTAATTGTGATCGTAATCACAATTTAAAATCATGAAAAAGAGAGTTATGAGAAGGAAATAAAAGAACGCATCATATAATTATGAAATTTTTTAATACTTAAAATGATAGATAAGAAAAGACGTCTTCAAAACTATTTAATAAGAAGTCAATAACATATTAAAGATTCTTTAATCAAATATCACTATCTACTTAATGATTATAATCACAAATTTAACATTACGTTCAACCTCCTTTGTGTTTAATTTTCAAAAAATTATGAAAATGACATTTTTTTTTCATTTTCACTTTCAAGGTTCATCTGGAAATATTTCCAAAATATCAGTTGTCACTTGTGCCATCAGAAAAGCTTGTCTATGAGCGGATTAAAATAGATTGGTGTGCGCACGCATATATTATTTTGCTCATTTTCTACTTTCTAATACACTCTTAATGCCAATCCATGTGTGTATAGCATATTTGTGTGGCAATTCCTTTTGTACAAGTTTTATTTAGAGAGTATCAATATCTCTTTTGATTATATAGCTATTTAAATAATATTATGTATAATTTTTTATCAAATTTATTATTTTATAAATAAGTTTTAATTTTTGTATATTAGTCTCTCATTAATTTATTATATTTTGAAGAATAGTTTCATCTTTGACCTTTCGATTTCATTATCTCTCACATAACTATTTTTTTATCTTGTTCTCTCAAACTTTTGACAATTTTCAGCAGAGAATTTCAACTTAGATTACAATTTCATTCTTCATTTGTTTTCGTTTTTAGTTTCCCTCCCCTGAAATAAAATAAAATCATCGTCTCCCATGTGGGAGTATGGGATTTTTTTCCCCATAAATCAATCACTAGAAACATAATACAGGGAATGAATTGATTTGATTACCTTTTCCACATACACATGAATCAAATCAGGAATTTAGAAAAGAAATCAACAAACGAAACTGTAGCTTGGAGGATGTGGTCGGCCATGAGAACCTGATCGGTGGGATTAACAGCAACACCCTCTTCGATCTCACACTTCTGAATCTTGAACATGTTCTAGATACTCAAAAACAACACCAAAGCAAGGTTCTAGCCATAAAGGGTCCACGATCTCGCTTCAACAGATCCAACCCCATTATGACGAGCTTCCTCAATGGGGTCTTGAACAGAAGCAACGCTATCATCATCGCCTCCAAAAATATCAACGTGAATAGAAGCTGAATCATCTTCACAATTCACAACAAAATGAAGAACGAAATCTATATCTGAGTTGAAATCCTCAGCTAAAAATCATGCAAATTAGAGAAAATAAAAATAATAAATGTTTTTATGAGACCGAAAGGTTAAAAACATGTAAGTAGTGTGAAATTATTTTCTAAAATATAATAAATCAATGAAGAGTTAATTTTTTTTTATTCGTTCCTAGAGTATCCACCGTCGATAGCAGTTGGAGACATTTTAAAAGATGAGATAGTTGGCTCCAAGATTTAACGCGACTGCATACATAACACAGAATTTAAACCTCTAACATTGTTTAAACATAAATAAAAATTACACAAGACATCATTTATTAAATTGTCCTAATTATTGATATCTATAAATAAAACTTACACCAAAAGAATTATCTATTTGTTTTTGCGTTCAAATTAATGCCATTCAACTTCAATCCTAAAATTATCTTTCATGTTCAAGTTCTTGGAAAGTGTAAAAATTGTAAATAAAAAACACATTCGTAAAGGTGTGTTTGGAAACTCGATTGGATGATATAAACATGAGTTCATACTTTCTAAAGCATAAAAAGTAAAAGCAACAATTTGTATCTGGTGAGGTGTATTTTTGAAACCTTAATGTGGTAAATGTTGTAAGAAATCGAGAGGGTTCTAGTAAGTAACAACAACTTTAGTGAGAAATAGATCTACATACACATTCATAAACACTCTGACATCTAAGTCAGTATAAGACATATATAAAAATAGGCAACATTGCAGTCTCAAAAAAGTCAAGAATATCTTTCCCATTTAAAAGAAATATAAATGTACGTTTAAATATCAGTTTAAAATTATATTTAACAGAGAAATATGTGTTTCGATAAAAAAAAAAAAAGAAAAAATTTGTAAGTACAATTTATTTTTCAACTTCAGCCGACTTAAACTCAAATTACTTAACTAATTTTCAAACATATCTTAAAACATGAGTTTGCAAGTTTGTAGCTGCAAACCAAACATACACGTAATTGTTGCTATCAAATTGAATTGAACTGGACAAGTAATTAGATAGATACATCCTTGCTATGCCCAAAAAATTCTATTATACTAGTATTTTTGTGAAAAATATCTAAAAGGTTAGAGCATACGCTAAACACCAAAGTGCATTTTACATTCAATATGACCTGTTAATTTAATTGACAAGAGCAATTTGAGCCATGACTTTATGCTGTGGGGGGCCCTTTTCCCCTTGACAGACAGGCATATAAATAACCACCTTAGCTGCTAACCAATTTTCAATCCAATGATCCACCTCACATTGTTTCATCACTCCTTAAAGATGACAACAGCAGAAGAAACTTCAAACTTGGATCTCATACGGCAACATCTCTTAGGGGAGAACATCTCAGATTCATTCCTCACCAATCTCCACCCTGTAAAACTTGAACACCCCTCATCACCAGAATTTGACTTCACCTCATATATTTCAGACCACAGCAGCTTCTTCACTTTCCTTGAAGGCTATGATTTGGTAGCAGACATGGAGTTTGTTGATCACAAGAAGGCACTCAAGTCCACAGGAGCCATCACCACGCCCTCAAAGGAACCAAATAAATGCAATTCCCCTGAACCAATATCAGAAGGGAAGGCAAAGAAATCATCAGAATATGATGAGGCAAAGCGTTATAGGGGAGTTAGGAGAAGGCCTTGGGGGAAGTTTGCTGCTGAAATCCGTGACCCTACAAGGAAAGGGGCAAGGGTATGGCTTGGCACTTTTGACACTGAAATTGATGCTGCTAAGGCCTATGATTGTGCTGCTTTCAGGATGAGGGGTCAGAAGGCCATTCTGAACTTCCCTCTTGAGGCTGGAAGGTCTGATCCAAAGCCAAACTGTTGTGGCAGGAAAAGGAGAAGAGAGAGCCATGATTATGAATTGAAGCTGCCACAACAAGTCCATGTTCAGTTTCATCATGGTGTGTCATGAGAAGAAAAATAGAGTTGTGTAGCTAGCATAAGTCTCTTCCTTAGCTAGGAAAATATATATGTTTATTACCCTTGCTTGTTTAGTTTAGTTTGTGCATAGAAGCAACGCTAATGTGAAGGGAAATCTCTATGTGGAATTTATGCAAATATCTGGTGCATGTTGTGAAGGTTTTACTAACTTTGAGGACCAAAGGTTACAAAATATTAGTCAATTCCTGTGTGAAAATACAGATTAAAATGAACCAACTCCAACACATTTTCTTATTGTTTCTTGTCTCTGCTTTTGGGGAAACTTACAGATTCTTTTATAGACCTTCACTGTTTTTGCTTCACAACAGAGTTAGGGGGAATGGTGTCCTAGTCCGAGGGAGAAAAAGTCTTCGGACTCGAAGAAAAATTACAAAAGAATTTACATTAATTTGTCTCATCTCAAAGAGACATATGGGGACTCAAACATGCAATGTGTCACACTGTCGTGCTAGAAACTATCTTACTTCACTCAACCAAGCCCATGAGGTGAGTACATGTTCCTCTATTATTTTTTTTTTTTTTTTTTTTTTCTCATTCAATAAACATTACTATATAACATAATCCTTCCTACCCATTTTATAAGAAATAATGACAGCGTAAAAAATAAACTAAACATTTGTTTTGTATTAATAAGAACTAAAGTAGTTATATATAAAATTGATTTATTGGTATTTAACTATTTGACACTTAGTTAAAGAAAAAGAAATATAACCCCAAGCGTGTGGTTCAGCGGTAGGGGTTGATCCACGCTTAAGCAAGGTCAGGGGTTCGAATCCTGCCTTGTGTATGCAGCCGCGTTAAATCTTGGGGCCAGCTATCCCACCCTTTGAGGTGCCTCCAACGTAGCGAGGAGATTAGTCACTGCTGTCGGCGGTGGATACTCCAGGAACGAACCTAAAAAAAAAAAAAGAAATATGGGGTACAAGTAGAGATGACAATGTGACGAAATGAATACGAATTTTCATATTTTTTTCTTAATTTATATATTATATATTTATCTTTGTCTTTATTTTCGTCGTGTATCGAATATATTTGTATTTGTTTAAAAATTAATTAAACACTTTTTTGTAAAAAATATATAAAATCAAGAATTTTAATATAAAGTAAAAATTACAAAATTACATTATTTAAGTTTTATTTCACATAAATTTAAAATAGAGTAGGAATTACATAAATTTTAAGTAAATTTTATATAAAAAAAATAATTTTTAAAAATATAAAATGCGAACAAATAAGAGTATATGGCAGGTAAGTGTATATCCATCCTCATCTCTTACTCAATTTAATAAATTGAGTATTACCTTTATCTATATATACCCATGCTTGATCAACCAGAACATTCTCCATCAAAATTAGAAAAAGTTCAGACATTATCCACGAGTACAAATTTACTTACCATCCTTAAGTACGAGTTCTTAAAAATATAATTTACATTTGTCTAGTTTCAAAGATAAAAATCCAGACTCAAACATGCCATGTGTAATATGCGAGATTGTATTAGTTCAAACTTCATTCAACCAAGTTCACAAAGTTTAGGATTCAATTTGAAAAGTAAAGAGACTTTACTTGGTGCATTTGACTCTTATTTTAAGCATTGACACTTTTATCACATCAATTCCAATTTAAGGTTTAAGATTTAGAGTGAAGAAAAGAGTAGGATGCACAAGGTAAAATCTATTTACTTTTCAAATTTAATATGATGTTCAATATTGTATTGTAAGTATTTGTTTCCTATTTCTTTAAAACAAAAAAATAAACTATAGTGACACTATTTTAACTAAAACGTCATCGATGCTTAGAAAAACTTAAATAAATATCTTATTTGATACTTGAGTTTATAAAGTAGCATATAACTACTATAAATGATTTTTTTTATTTAAATACATTTTTTTAGTAAAATTTATTAAAATGATTTTTTTCTTATTTAAATACATTTTTTTCTTATAAATTAATGATAAAATAGTATATAGACAAACCACAGAAAGAACTTTAAAATCGTAATGTAGTTAGAAATTAATATGTAAATTAATTTAGTTAACTTTTATGGTAACCAAATTTATATTTATTAAAATTTATTGTTAGTTGGGTGAATAATTTTTGTATTCAAATAGAATATAGAAATTATTGGGTTGGGGAGTTAAACATTATGAAACATTTCAACGGGTAATGAGTAAACTATACAAGTGAGGTTGACATCACATCATAATCTAAAATTTTAAAATATTAGGTAGATGAGTCTTTCTCACTTATATATTACTCAACATACCAAACTTTAACTGATGTAGGAATCTATTCACACTTGAACTTCAACAATTCTCCCCAAGTGTGAATCTCCTCCAAATAATCATACTCCCTTCTCAAGTGGAAGTCTCACCACCATTGCACATCAATGGGATACATTCTCCACACCTCTAGGAAGACTTCGATACAAGGGATGATCACTCTTAAATCTCCTACAACATTCCTTTATCCAAGATTCTACTCTTGGATCCATCGCCAATTCTATTGGCTAATACTTGTCTAAGTCGATCACTAGTCTCTTGATCCAAACATCAGCTTTGATACCATTGATAAGTTAAGGGAGTTAAGTACAAGTGAGTTTGACACCACATATAACCCAAAACCTTAAGGCATTAGGTAGGTAGGTCTTTCTCAAATATATACTACTCAACATGTCCAACTTTAATCAATGAGAGACTCACTTCACTCTTGAGATCCAATACTCTCCCTTAAGTGTGAATCTCTTCCAGCCACATGGTCACGCTCCTCCTCCTTAAGCAAAAGTCATTTTCATCCACGATTATTTCATGGTGGCCTATGTAACATGTCCTCCACACTCTTAGAAGACTTTCAACATTGCCAATTACATTGCCTGATAAGGATCCCATTCTTGGATCCACTACCAATTCTATTAGCTAATATTTATTCGAGTTGATCACCAATCATTAGGTTTAACCATCAGCTCTGATACCAATGTTGGGTCGAAGAGTTAAACACTGAGGAGTACTTCACCAATGAGTAGTGAATAAATCATACAAGAGAGTTGGCACCATTATAACCCAAAACTTTAAGACATTAAGTATATGAATCTTTCTCACTTATATATTAATCAATATATTTAATTTTAATCGATGTAAAATTTCATTCCCACTAAAACTCCATTAGAAATTATACTTTTTTTTCTTCCATAAGTAGGTTCTCTATAAATAAAGCAACGTTTTCGATTACAATCTTACTTTCAAGTTGAAAATCGAATTCTATCTTTTTTAATAAAAACATAAGTGATAATTTCTAATCTCCTTCACATATATTTTCTTCTTAGATTTTTCTAAACACGTTTGTATCCTAAAAATTAATTCTTCTATTTCACATACTTTATTTCATATTAAAAAGAGGAATTCAAATTCTAAACAATTTAAGAGACATGAATAATGATCACTTTTTGCCAACAAATCTTGTCAAAGAAAAATGTCTTCTATGTAAGCATGAGAGAAACGGAATTAACAACATCTTTCTACACCATGATTGTACCATGGAGGCATTTGGCTGGATTACTTTCGCTTTCGTATCGTGGCATATCTTTATCTTTCCCCAATCACACGTATCACCATTTTCTACAATTTATAATAGCCATTTCTACATTGATAACCACTACATGTGGCAAGCTATTTGGCTCTTAGTACCTAGGCCTGATATCGTTGCTTAGAAATCAATCAACTTTCACATCCTAAAATAAAAAACACACTCATTTTCCTACATGCCACATCTTACATATTAAACAGTACACTGTTAATTATACATATAAATATCATTGATTTTATATCCCCTACAACAAAATATATTTTTAACAATATTAAAAATTACTAAAATATAAATAAATATTATTAATGTATTTTTGTGATACTTTATCGAATATAAGATAAAATCTATTTTATTAAAGACTTTTAATAACCTTTTATATATTAATGACAATATTTTAAAAAATGTTAAGTGATATTTTGTAATTTTTTTTTAATAATATTGTTAAATTTTTATAAATTTTATAAAATTATAATTAAATTGTTTCATTATTTATTTATACTTTATGGCACTTGTTTACAAGTCCTTTAAAATTTAATATACCTAAAAAAAATTTAACAAGAAAAACTATTCTAACTTAATCATCATCAAATCAAAATTACATATTAAAGTTCATATATTCTTTGATTATATATATTCTTTATGTGTCATTCTTTTATTCATGAGACTTAATTTTGAAAAATAATTATAAAGAAAAATATTGAGATAAAAAATATTATTATATCTATAATAAGATTTTCTAAAAAAATTATAATAATCTATTAACTTAATCTATAATGACATTTTAAAAAATATAAGTAAATAAATATTACTAAAAAAATGTTAAATTTAATAATGTTCATAATTAATTATTAGATATTTTAACAATTTGATTAAACTATTAACTACATGAAACTATTAATTGTATATTAATAATTGAGTATAATTATGTTTATTTATTTTTAAACATTTATAAAAAAAACTAATTTTATATATATATATATATATATATATATATATATATATATACAAAATAATAATATGATTTACCCTGCTTTTGTATTAACTCCTATAGATTTTCATCATATCCCTCGATTGTGGCCCTTTTAGATCAAATACATTATTGATATGACCATTTAGAGGGGCTTTCATGTATTTTTTATTTATCATAACTATTTATAAATTAAATTTTAATATTTTAAAATAAATTATCAATAAATAAAAATAATATTATGGTATAATATAAATTATTTATTATAAATCTAAAATATAATTTATTCACTTCAAATATCTATCTATACACATTTCAAATATAATTTATGTATATAAATATAATATCTATTTATATAATTTATTACAAATTTTAATTATATATGATAAATATTTAGCTTGTGCAAAAATACTAATTTATTTAAATAATTTACTAATTTTAAGTGGACACTAATTTGTATATCGTATATATGTAAGATGCTCCTTATAAAAAGAAAAAAAAAAAAAAGTTGATGCAGGTGACTCATCCCATTTCACTAATTTGATAAGTTCAAACTTAAAAAATGTTTAAAATTATACTTTAAATTGTTGGTATGTTATATTCTTTTAAAAAATCATTAAGTTTTAACTCAATAGATGATATGTTGTATAATTAGTGTTAACAAAATATTTGTAACAAGGAGTGG